CATGGCTAATTTGTATAAAACTAAGCGCTCAACAAACAGCTCGCTCCTTGTGCCCTGATGCGGCACATCGGACTTAAAAAAGACACGACTCAGTGGAATATGAGTGTTCTTTCTGTGACAGAGGGGTGTTCTGCTGATGGTGAGTCTGTTCTGTGCTTTTGTCACATCAGACATGGCTCATGTTAAACTTTTCAGAGATTATATGTCTGCAGGTCGTACACACAGATTGTATATATGGAGGGGCATATATCCTAGCCTCCTAGCGTTTTGGAGGTGGATTACTTCTAATCTACTACTACTAAGACCGCACTAAGTCCGAGACCAAGACCAGTCCGAGACCACAGTGTTCTGAGACTAGGACAAGACCAAGACCTCTGAGAGTCGAGACCGAGACAAGACCGAGACTTTTAAAGGTCAAGACCGAGACCGAGACTTTTAAAGGTGGAGACCAAGACAAGACTGAGATTTTTAAAGATCGAGACTGTGACAAGACCGTGCTCACGGCCCATGGAGACCAAATCGAGACCATCTTTGTCATTTTCTACATTCATTTGTATTTTACAGGTATTTTGGCACATTCATGTAAATGTTTTTATAAATCTATCCCCATTTTATCTGATTAATGTTCATTTAAGCTTCTTTAAGAGAACTTCCACTGGCACAAAAAAGTGAAGAAAGGTAGGCCTGTTCTGTGCTGTAGGTCTGCTCTGTGCCAACACCGTAGCATAAATTTAGATTAGTTTTTGCTTCGCATTTGGTCTCTTCTAATGAGCGCACTCTGACAAGTGAGTGTGTGTGCGCTGTACGTGAGGAGGAGTGACAGTGTGGAAGGCGAGGAGCGGCGCTGACATGAGGCAGATGGAGAGGTGGGATGTTTAACCTGTCCTGTCATACACGCTGGTACACGAGGGTAACACTGTTGAGGACAAGCTGTGCTCTGGAGACTTGTGTGTTGTGACGTGCCGTGGGCTCCAGACTCCAGACAGACTCCAGGCTGCACACCAGTACAAGTTTATTGGCGGCAGCAGCGACCATAATAAAATATGATCGTACTCGATGAGTGTCAGACCTTGAGTCCGAGACAAGACCGAGTCCAAACGCGTTCAAGTCCAGTGTTGAGGTACAAGGCCGAGGCTCGAGTATCACGACACTTGTCACTAATATAAGACCGTATTTTCCGCACTATTAGTCGCTCTGGATTATAAGGCGCACTGTCATTAAATGGTCTATTTTCAAACTTTTTTCACAAATAAACCGCGTGGGACTTTAAATGAAACCCAACAGTGTGATGGGTGAGTGGTTTTGTTTGTTTGTTCGTTCACGGTGACTCTGGGCTTTGTTCAGTTGTGGCGTGTAGGGAGGGTGCTGTCTGGGACCAACGGATTGTCGGCGTGTTCGCAGTGACTCAGTTGTTCAGTCGTGTCTAGAAGTGGCACATTGCACTCGCTTTTTCGGTTCGTTCCTCCGTTCCGTTCCTCGTCGGCGTGGAGTGATGAGTGTGTCTGTGGGTGTGTTTGGCTGTGCGGTCGCTGTCTGCTCTGTGTGTGTTTGTGTGTTCTGCGGGTGGTGTGGCTTTGTAGTTTACTGAAGTCGTGCTGGGACACAGAGTGGATTCATGTATGGGGCGCTCTGGATTGTGGCGCACGGTCGTTTTTTGATACGGTTAGAGGCTTAACCTGGAAAATACGGTATATATATTTGTAAAACTTCATCAAATGGAAAGTTTGTTACTAGTTTTCCCGTAGTGGGTGAGTCGAAACTCTGTATATGAACATTTTGAGTTTATATGAGGAAACTGAATGGGAAATTTTCTGAACATTTTCAGTGTGGGCGAGACAGTTGAGCTTCAAACCTAAACAAATATGGCGGCACAATAACAGCTTGGGTTTGGAGAAGATGGGGAATAAAAGTGTTTTTGGTAGAATAAATAAATAGCTGCTTTAAAACAGAAAGTTTGAGGAGCTGGCTGACCAGACTTTGTCCAGACTGGGATCCACTCTGTAAAACATTTCACTGCATGATTTAAAATGACTTTAATTCAGAATATTCATGTTTTTTCACTAGTTTTTACTCATTTGAATTCATTTAGTTTGTAAATTTATTCATTTCGATTTGATTTAATTTTATTTATCATTTGATTATAAATATTTGTCCAGGTTCCAATATTTCTGTCAACTATAAAATAATAAATTTTCTTGAATTAGTAACTGAAACCTGTTAGAAATTCTTAATATAAATAAGAATAAGATTTTTCATTCTTGCCCCAGGCTCAAGAAGTCTGTGAACGGCCCTGGCTTTACTCACTATATTCATCAAAACGAGTCAAAACTACTCAAAATGTGACTGCAAACATTCTGAATTCCCATCGTTTTAGCTCGTGCAGATGTTTTTTTTTTTTTTTTTGTTTTTCCAGAGCAGTGAGAGTTTGTGGCTTTTGTACAGGCAGCACCACGACTCCACAGAATGAGTCCAAACGCGCGTTACACACAAACATGCACGTACCTCCCACCCAAAAAAACAGCAAATTATCAAAATATATTATCCCACATTTACCCAAAAATACGAAAATAAATCTGGCACCAAAGGAAAAGTACAGCTAAGTCTTTACACAGATCACTACAGCCGACCCCAGCTACAGAGAGACCGCCTGCACGAGAGCGGACACGCCTCATTCTGCACTCATTTTCAAGTGCGTATGACAGGTTTTACAATATTTTTTTTTTAATTTGTTTAACTCTGGTGGGATGACACTTGTTGTAAAAATAGATTGCAGTTTTACCAGAGTGGGAAATACATTTACTTGAGTATATTTTGTAAGAAAATTTTCACTCCTACTTGAGTAAAATTTAATTGAACTAACAGTAATCATTACTTGAGAAAAAGTTTGGTGATTTCCAAAAATATACTGGTCTGTGTTTTAGTCTCTCATATGCACTTGACTTGGTTTCGTTCATTTAAAGTTGCACTGTGTCACTTTTCCGGACAAGGGACTGTCACCTGTTTTATCCCTTATTCTGGATCCCCACATTTATGCCACGTTTACATGAGAGATTTAATTCTGAATACAGATCATTTAATTCTGAATAAAAACGGATTCTGCTTTAAAAAGACCATGTAAACACTTCATTCCTAATGAAATTAAACTTAATTCCGAAGTAAGTAGGTGGTTTATTCTGATTTTAAAGCTGAATTAATTTCTTCCTGGATCATGTAAATGTTTATTCTTGTTAAAAATAATTCTGGTCGTTCAGTGCATTCTCGTTGTGTCGCCCTTCGATTCTGGCTTCCACCAGTTCTGGCTTCGGACTTTCCTCCACGTCTCTTTGGATTTGTGAGCAGGATGTGGGAGTGGCCTGAGGTAGAGCAGCCTCACACTCAGTTTGTCTTCTTCCTCCTTCTCCGACACTCTTCCCTTCTCCTCTTCAGCCGACAGACGTAAAGCATGAAGAGACAATTCTAAATCTGCTGATTCGCAATTATCATCGGAACCACTGCGGGAAAAGTTTGGATCATGTTTGTGTCCGTGACGGAACGACAAACTGAGATGACAGAAAAGCCGGTAGCAGCTGAAGTGTGTGTTTACGTTGGTGTCTCTGTCCAATCAGAACCTTCCCCACCCCCAGACGCTGAACGCAATTAAATAAAGACGATTTAACGTGTTTTCCATGTAAACCTCAATTCAGAATTATTATTTCCATGTAAACTTGAAGGAGAATATTTTGATTCTGACTATTTAATCCAGAACAATTAATTTGGAATTAAAAAACATCATCATGTAAGCGTGGCCATAAACTGTATAAAGAAGTAGATTAAGGGAGTGTGACGTTGCCTACAGTGTTCAGCTCCAGTCAAATGAAGCTCACAGAGGCCTGCAGTGGAGCAGAGTTAAATATTAGGAATAGGAATTGATTTATAGACCAAACAGCAAGATATAAACTCCAGTATCATGTGTCGCGGGTTAATATGAACATTTTCAGACCAAAATGAGGAGCCTGACAGCAGCAGGTACACAGAGAGAGCTGATAGTTTTTTCAACAGAAAGTCAGTTGGAGCCAGAAGTGCCCCCATGCTCACTTCCTGTTTGAAACATGCCCATTTCTTTAAACCAGACATGTCAAACTCAGGCCTGGGAGCCAAATTTGGCCCATGATATAATTATATTTGGCCCACGAGATCAGATCAAAGATGTATTAGATCTGCCCGCCGGCTACAGATAGACTATAGAGACATTATTTTTTTTAAATGTTGTTATTTTATATTCTGCTTGTTCTAGAATCAATGTTTAAGCAAAACTATTATTAAACATTTACTGATATAATAAGAAAAGGTTTAACATTACATACATTACATTCTCAAAAGAAGAGAAAACATGCAGATGTTGTTGACATTTTTCAATAAATATTTAGTTTGGCCCACGACTTAGTCCCAGTTTTTAATTTTGGCCTCTGTGAATTTGAGTTTGACACCTCTGCGAGTTTATGTTACCACGGCAATAACCACACTTCCTTAGGTCCATTTTAAACCTGATTGTTTTCATGGAGTTGCTGTGACTTTGCTTGGAATATTCCACAGTATCACATTACCTGTCTCCATAGAGACAATCAGGTAATGCCACTCGACAGGCCAGGTTACAGGTCAGATCTGTGGAGAGTAATGATTTTTTTTCAAGGCATTTTTGAGCAATAAAAACATCTGTAATTGAATAAATGTAAAATAGATCAAATGGAGACAAGCAGGACCAAGCCCCTCATGTGAAAAGTGACACAGTGCCTCTTTAAATGTAATGGTGCAGGTCTAGTTCTGACAGTGTCGTCTTCTCCTCGGGGTCTTCTCTCAAACCAGTGAAACACGCCCAAACCTGATCCCAGAATAATGCATGATGACGCTGTAAGTTCAAGCCATTCGCCTGGTGGTGTTTTTTTTGCCGTGTGGTGAAGCGTGGGTGTGGGGGTTTCATGCTGGTGCGGCGCTGGGACAGTCCTGTAGGGGGCGGCAGGGGGTTAAATGTCCAGGTCCACGGGTCGGACCTCCCCCGTCTTGTTCTCTTGGACCCAGAGCTCGCGGTCTTTGGCTGGGTCCACGGCCTGGAGCAGCTGGTCCACCGGCTCCACCGTCTACAACACAAGAGTCACAACACACTGAAGAGAAACACTCAGTTTAAACAGACAATATCACACTGTTCTCTGATGTTTTAATGCAGTTTCCTCATCACAAACAAACCTGGAGTTGTGTTTTGTTTCATTCACATGTTTAACACATAAACCCTTCTTCTCTCAAACTGAACACACTCTGTTCCACCTTGTGATGTCATGTGGTAATACAGAAAGTGCTAATGTGTTTTTAAACTCCACACACCTTCACTAAAATCATTTGGATGATTTCAGCCATGGAATAAAAAAATAATAATAGTTTAAAAAAAATCTAAGTGAGAAATTAAACCGTATTTAAAACTCTAAATCTGATGGAACTAATTCTTTTCCATAAATATAGAAGTTTTAAAGTGGAGCCAAACACTAAGTCCACTTTCATCACTGAACTGTGTATTATATGAAGTTTTAATGACATTATCTTCCGGCAGTTTTAGTGCAAACTAAGTTTGTTTGCAGCTTTTCGGGTCAAAAACACCAACATGTCAGTGTGTGCTGCCTCCAGTGGCTTTTGAAATTTGAAGTACTATGTTACATCACACAGAACTGCCCTGATTACAGACAGGTGTTTGTATCAGAAGGACCTGACCACGCCTACAGGAAGTAATAACAGCTGACCACGCCTACAGGAAGTAACAACGCCTACAGGAAGTAACAACGCCTACAGGAAGTAATAACAGCTGACCACGCCTACAGGAAGTAACAACGCCTACAGGAAGTAACAACGCCTACAGGAAGTAATAACAGCTGACCACGCCTACAGGAAGTAACAGTAACAACGCCTACAGGAAGTAATAACAGCTGACCACAACTACAGGAAGTAACAAAGCCTACAGGAAGTAACAACGCCTACAGGAAGTAATAACAGCTGAACACGCCTACAGGAAGTAACAACGCCTACAGGAAGTAACAATGCTTACAGGAAGTAACAAGAGCTGACCACGCCTACAACAAGTAACAAAGCCTACAAGAAGTAACAAGACCTGACCACGCCTACAGGAAGTAACAACGCTTACAGAAAGTAACAAGACCTGACCACGCCTACAGGAAGTAACAACGCTTACAGAAAGTAACAAGAGCTGACCACGCCTACAGGAAGTAACGACAGCTGCAAGGCCGAGCAGCAGTAGCAGAAACATGTCATCAATGTTAATATACTTTACTTTATTGTCTTTAATAAAACACCCAAGAAGTTAAAGCACACAATTGTTTTTTAAATGTAGATGACTTGAGTTTGTGGTGCAGCTCCGGGTCCACTTCCTGATCTTTAAACAGCTGGTTTATTTCTTTTAGTGTGACTCAGCAAAACCCCACAGAGACACATCTGACTCTGTACAACGGCAGCGACTGTAATCAGACAAACAGTTGGTCCAATCATTTCCACTCTAATGTAACTTCCATGAGGGTTTTGCCAAGTCACTAAAACCACCGAATCGTGTCAGACCAGACAGTGACGGTGTGACAGTGTGACAGGGTGACAGGGTGACAGGGTGACAGGGAGACAGGGAGACAGGGAGACAGGGAGACAGGGAGACAGGGAGCTGTGGGTGGACGTCACTGACAACATGTTAAACACAAATGAGGAGAAAACTTCACTGGACTTTTTTTAGAAAGGCGCGTCTTTGTGTGTCAAACTTTAATTAAGCTGTTAACTTTAACAAAACAGCCGTCAAACGAAGCGACTCTGAGAATAACCTCACAGACATTTGACTACAGTGAACATGGTCGAGCTGTTTCTCTGATTGGAACTATTGTTGCGCACGGAGCCGACTGTGCCGACTGGACAGGAACGAGTGATGGAACAGTGAGGTGGCCGAGAGCTATTGTACACAGGAACAGATTTAAGTTATGTGATCTGACACACAGTTTTGGAAAATAATCCCTCCACATCCACAGCTGATCTGTCTGTGGATGTTTGAAATACATAAACAGTCTGCCTCTCCTACTACTGCACTGGTGAAGTCTTACAATGAACCCTAATATTACTATAATTATCACTATTAGCGATTTGTGTGTTGTGTTTTTGTATGAAAAACGCTCTATAAATAAAGTCTGATTGATTGATTACTATTACTACTAGTATTAGTACTCCTCGTCCTCTGAGTGCAGTACGTACGCTCTGGTTGAACATGTCCGTCTCGTGTCTCAGGGTGGTGTACTGTCTCAGGTGAGTCTGAATGAACTCGATCCGCTCCACCTCCAACTTCTCCAGCTCCTGAAACACACAAAACACACAGGGCTAGAAAACAGAGAACTAAGAACGCTGTCCTACTACCAGTGTGGGGGAGTAACAGATTACATGTACCAGAGTTACGTAATCAGAGTACAAATTATGAGTAACTGTATTCAGTTACAGTTTTAGTGAGTGGTAATTGGATTACAGTTACTTTGTTGAAATAAATGGATTACATGGCGGGATTTTCGTGTTTTCACATTTTGGGCTATAACCACCCTTTTTTTTTCTTTTCTTTTTTTTTTTTTTTTCGGTAATTCCACTCATTGCCGGAAACTAAACTAGGTCTAAACTAGATCTAAACCAGGTCTAAACCAGGACTAAAACCAGGTCTAAACTAGATCTAAACCAGGTCTAAACCAGGACTAAAACCAGGACAAAAAACAGGTCTAAACTAGAGCTAAACCAGGACTAAACTATGACTAAGACCAGGTCTAAACTAGTTCTAAACCAGATCTAAACCAGGTCTAAAACAGGTCTAAAACCAGGTCTAAACCAGAACTAAACCAGAACTAAACCAGAACTAAACCAGAACTGCACCAGAACTAAACCAGAACTAAACTCAGGTCTAAACCAGGACTAAACCATCCTAGTCTTTGCTTCTCTACAGTATTCAGATTACGTTACTCACTTTAAGTAATTTAATGGATTACGTTACAAACTACATTTTGGGGTATGTAATCTGTAATCTGTAGGGGAATACATTTGAAAAGTCACCTTCCCAACACTGCCTACTACTACTGTATTTTTCGGACTATAAGTCACAGTTTTTTCATGGGTTGGGTGTTTCCTGCAACTTATACTCAGGGGCAACTTATATATTAAAATGTTGACAGTGAAGCGGTGAGAGGTTCTAGTCTTGTGTGTGAGTATCTGCTGCTCCTGTTCCTCCTGTACCACTGTCACTTCACTCTACTGCACATGTCTCCTGCAGAAAGAGCCTCTGTTCTGTCTGTATCATGTCAGTCGATCAAACCATTACTTCTGCACCACTGAACAATTTAACATTTAAACAAACTTATAAAGACGACTGAGAAACTGAACACAAATGCCCCCAAAAACTAAATCATATATTGCAGATTACAAACTGGAAGTCGTGAAATCTGCAGCTGAAAACGGTAATCGAGCAGCAGAAAAAAGTTTGGAGTGAGAGAGAAACTTGTGACACCTGGGAGGATGCACCATGAAACTTTCCTGAAGTCACTGGATGGATGGACAAAGCCTGAACTTCAGTGACACCGAAACCATCCTGTCGGGATTCAGAAAGACCTGAATAATTCTAACTGGAACTGATGCTGAGTCTGACGACAGCGACACAGAAGAGGAAGCGGCGCTCTGTTTACCTCCGGAGGTCAAGGAGTTGCTCAGAAGTGACACCGAGGATGAAGAATTGAATGGATTTAGTGATTTGGAGTGAGATGGAGAGTTTGTTAAACTTGTTCTGTTCTGTTGTTTATGTTATAGTTTATCTGAAGAACTGTTCATATGTGACGTTAACAGTCTGTTGTTCTCTCTTCTATAGTTTTTACTAGAACTTGACTTCCAACAGGAAATGTCGGTTCCTGGTCTCTGATTTTGTCAAATAAATTTACCCCAAAAAGTGCAAATTATTAGGGCTGGGTATCATTAAGAAGTTGCCGATACGATACATACCTCAATACAAAGGCCACGATTCTATACATATCTGGATACAGTGCTCTTTCGATTCGATACGATATATTTCAAATCGATTCGATACAAATCAGCAAAAAAATAATAGCTAAATCATGTCTGTGATACTAAAAGTCTTTGGTAAACCACTTCTTGTGCAAAGTTCATATGAAACACAAACATTTTAACCATAAAACAGTGAAAATGTCAAATGTGTCACATAAATGAGTTTTCTTCCTCTGAACAAGAAACAAAACTGTAGCTCTAACAAAATTATTTAGTAAAATAAACCAAAAAAATACTCTTGGTGATGTATCGATACAGCGATACTGTATCATCACACTAAACGATACAATATATCACTATTTTGATATTTTTGCACACCTCTACTACTTATATATGTTTTTTTCTTTTTCATTATGCATTTTTTGGCTGGTGCGACTTATATTCTGCAGCGATTTATAGTCCCAAAAATACAGTACTACTACTAATCCTATGCTGTCTTGTATTACAGATAATATGATTGCAGTATTAAGGTTAAAGTGCACTTTATTATCCTCATATGCAAATCTGGCCTCTGCATTTGACCTGTCCTTCACTGCTGCTGGTGCGTCCCCTCAGGAGCAGCGGGCGCACAGTCCCACGCCTGGAGACCCATGTCCAGAGCTTGAGTTGGTCTTGGTCAGGACGATCTTAGCTGGAGGATTTGACTTGTTGTGTGTGTTTTGGGTTGATCGAGGAAACAGGAGTGCCCAGAGGAAACCCACCCAGACACAGGCAGAACTCCGCACAGACAGACCTGAGCGACCTGGAGATCAAACCCGGAACCTTCTCGATGCTTACCATGCTGCTGGTGACCATCTCCTCGAACCATTTGCACTGGGTCTGATTGTACAGGTCCAGAGAGCGCATCAGGTCGTCCCCTAAACACAAACACACAAAGGTTTATTACACAAAAAACCTTAACTGTTTCATGATTTCAGAAAACAGAATGTGCAGACAAATTACAATACTTTGTTATTTATAGTTTATTTATTTATAGTAAAAAAAAATAAAAAATAAATACTATTGCTGCTGTTGCTGTTACTGCTACTACAAATGATAATGATGATAATAATAATAATGAAATAAATTATTGTAATTAATAGTATAGACAATAATAATAATAATAATAATAATAATTATTATTATTATTATTATTATTATTATTATTATTATTATTATTATTATTAAAATTTAAATGCCTTAAGGATTATGCTTTGAGATTGTGACGGATGGTGAATAATATTGGTTTAAATATAGGAACTAAAAATGTAGGTGCCTTTAAAATTATGATTTGAGTTTGTGATAAATGACAAAAAATGATGACAGAAAATGATGGTAAAAATAATATTAGTGGGAAGGGGGGAAATGGGGGCTTTTTTTGGTTGTTGTTGTTGTTGTTTTGTATTTGTTGTGGGTGTTGCTTTATGTTTTTGTCTTTTGTTTTATGCTGATTATTGTAATTGTTAAATGTTGATTGTCGTATTTTTTTTAAATGTTTTTAATGTTATATTCTGTTGTCCTTAAAAAATAAATAAATAAATAAATTACAATATTTCACCCAGTTCCAGCTGCTGCAGTAAACCCCCTCCCTCCTCTTTCATTGTCACGATTCACCTTCCTGCAACACCACAGTTGACCAGCAGAGAGCGCCCCCACCTCACTCTTGCCTGATGTATCCTGAATGAGTGACTTTCACTGTGAGATCTGCTTTATTCATGAACAGAGCGATCATCAGCTTTGGGTGAACACTCAACAGAGACACTTTAGTTCTTTTTAGTTTCAGATTTGGTGAAGGAAGAAGAATGACAACGGTTTTTGGCTCCTAGTTTAGACCAGTTTGAGTCTAAATTTAGACTTGGTTTGGTCCATTTCTACCTTTGTTTATACCCTGTTCTTGTTTCTTGTACCCTTTTCTTGGTCCTTGTTATACCCCATACTCATTTTAAGCACGATATATCGCTACAGAGCTACAATATGATAAATGATAATATCGAAACTACTTGATACAATGGACACAATTAAAGTAAGGAACGAGAGTTTAGATATAAATGTTCAGATATAAAGTCAGAATTAAAAGACACATATTATACTTTTTTTCAACACTTTACAGCTTAAATCTTATCGCATTACAACAGAAATTACAAAAAATTCCCCATTATTGCAAAGAAGCTATACACATGATAAAAACAGGGTGTCCCAAACAACTTCATCAAATCATTTCACAGGCCAGTTATTTTGGCACATCTTGTTGAAATAACCTCAAATTTTCACCGAATGTATAGAAACAGATCGAGATTTTGTACTGAATGTTTTATTTTTATTTATTTTTTTGTTGTGTTTTCAGGTTGAGCCGTGCCGTGAGTCTTGGAATCTGCTCACACACACTCACCCAAGACTAGAGCTGTGCAAAGATATCAAATTATCAATATATCGAATTGTTAAATGTGATAATACAGTATCGATATTGAGGGCTGCCAAGAGTAATTTTTTGGTATATTTTGTTAAATTATTTTGTTACAGCTACAGTTTTGTTGTTTGTTTAGAGCAAGGAAACTCTTTTATGTGACACATTTGACATTTTCACTGTTTTGATGATTAAAATGTTTGTTTCATATGAACTTTGCACAAGAAGTGATTTAACAAAGACTTTTAGAATCACAGACATAATTTAACTATTATTTTTTTAATGAACTGTATAGAATCGATTTGAAATATATCGTATCAAAGCAAAAGTGCGCTGTATCGAGATATGTATCAGATCGTGGCCTACGTATCGATATATGAATCGTATCGGCAACTTCTTACTGATACCCAGCCCTACCCAAGACTGTGCAGCCTTCAGTGCAACATTTGGAAAACTTCACCAACAGGCAAACAAACTTCGACTTGGTACCAAAAAGAGTTGGGCTGTAGAGCAACATCAACATCATCATTGAGCTCGACTCCGGGGCCGTCCACATGACAACGTTTTTGGTCAAAACAGTGAAGTTTGTTTTCGTTTTGGTCTTTCGTCCACACGGAGCCAGCGTTTCAGGTGGGCGAAAACAGAGTTTTTTGAGAATGGGTTCCAGAGTGGAGAAATCTGAGAACACCAGCGTTGCATTGTCGTGTGGATGAACAAACCGCAGCTTTTGGAAAATGATGACATCACGATCCCGTCATCACCAGGGTCATCTGATGTAGCGAAGCCCGCAGCCCTCGAACTATCCTCCACAGACCACAAGAGCGTTGCCAAATGGGACAGGTGTAACCTACAGAGCCGCTCCTGTCGCCCAGCAACCAAGACACAATGCTATTGCTAATGCTAACAACACGCACCACAGATTACACACACGGATCAATAACAAAGACTTTATTTATACTGAAACGAACTCGCATATCACCGTATCAGAAACAATCTGCGTCCAGACATGTCGTTTCTGTGTCTGTGTGCCTTCTCTATTCACACAGATTTGTGCATATTTGTTTACATTTTACACAAATAAAACTTAAAACCACATGGTTCATTTGCATAAACTGAGGGCTCAAAAAAACAGCTCAGTATTGTGCTCTGATGTGGTTCAGCTTCTGTCGGACTAAAGGACACAACTCAGTGGAATATATGGGTTCTTTCTGTGTCTTATGTTTAAGTTTTGCAAAACAAAATGTCTATATTTCTGGGATACATCTGAACTAGACTAAATTACCTTAAAGTTTAAAAAAACAGTGATGAGATTTGCTTTATTAAATATTATTATCATTGTTAACAGCGCCACATTCAGGTGTGGCAGATATATTACATCGTTTTCATTCAGTGCTCCGTTGTCGTGTGAACGTGAATATTTACTGATCCGGCACATGAGGACGTGGAATTTTTTTTCAACCTGCAAAGAAAAAATCCAGGAGCGTTTTCGTGTGGACATAGCCTTAGTAGTTTTCAAGATAATTGCTTTTAAAATGATGTCTAATTGTTTGGGACACTCTGTATATGCTCCAGTTTTCATACAGCCTATATACTCGTACCCCGTAGTATCCCGTAGTACCCCATAGTACCCCGTAGTATCCCCAAAGTACCCCATAGTACTCCCGTAGTACCCTGTAATATCCCCGTAGTACCCCATAGTACCCTGTAGTACCCCTTATAGTATCCCCGTAGTATCCTGTAGTATCCCTGTAGTACCTTGTAGTACCCCATAGTATCCCCTTGATACCCCGTAGTATCTCCTTTGTACCCTGTAGTACCCCCGTAGTATCCCCATAGTACCCCGTAGTATCCCCGTAGTACCCCGTAAGTATTCACATAGTACCCCGTAGTATCCCCATAGTACCCCGTAGTACCCCCGTAGTACCCCAGAGTATCCCAGTAGTAGTATCCCTGTAGTACCTCGTAGTACCCCGTAGTATCCCCTTGATACCCTGTAGTATCCCCGTAGTACCCCGTAGTAGCCTGGCATACTCGTACCTGCCTGTGTGGATTTCCTGCGCGCCTTCTTGATGTCTTCTTCTGTTTTGTTGCTGAGTTTGACTTCGAGCTGCTGTGTTTTCACCTCCAGGTCCTTCTGACGATCGGCCAGAGCTTTACGAGCCTGCACAGCCACATCACCACCACATCATCACCACATCACCACCGCATCACCACCGCATCACCACCGCATCACCACCGCATCACCACCGCATCACCACCACATCACCACATCACCACCGCATCACCACCACATCACCAGCGCATCACCACCGCATCACCAGCGCATCACCAGCGCATCACCACCATCACCACATCACCACAACATCACCACCGCATCACCACCACATCACCACCACATCACCACCGCATCACCACCGCATTACCACATCACCACCGCATCACCAGCACATCACAGCGCATCACCACGCATCACCACCGCATCACCAGCGCATCACCAGCGCATCACCACATCACCACAACATCACCACCACATCACCACCACATCACCACCACATCACCACCGCATCACCACGCATCACCACATCACCACCGCATCACCAGCACATCACCACCGCATCACCAGCGCATCACCACCGCATCACCACCGCATCACCACATCACCACAACATCACCACCGCATCACCACCACATCACCACCACATCACCACCGCATCACCACCGCATCACCACATCACCACCGCATCACCACATCACACCGCATCACCACCACATCACACATCACCGCATCACCACCGCATCACCACGCATCACCACCACATCACCACCACATCACCACCGCATCACCACCATCACCACACGCATCACCACATCACCACCGCATCACCAACCGCATCACCACATCACCACCGCATCACCACCACATCACCACCGCATCACCACCACATCACCACAACATCACCACCGCATCACCACCGCCTCACCACCACCATCCACCATCACCACCGCATCACCACGCATCACCACCGCATCACCATCACCACATCACCACCACATCACCACATCACCACAAACATCATCACCGCATCACCACCGCATCAAAACATCATCACCGCATCACCACCGCATCACCACATCACCACCACATCACCACCGCATCACCAGCGCATCACCACCGCATCACCACCCATCACCACCGCATCATCACCACATCACCACCGCATCACCACCGCATCACCACATCACCACAACATCACCACCGCATCACCACCACATCACCACCACCACACATCACCACCGCATCACCACATCACCACCGCATCACCACCACATCACCACCACATCACCGCATCATCACCACCGCATCACCACCGCATCACCACCGCATCACCACACCGCATCACCATCACCACGCATCACCACCACATCACCACATCACCACCACATCACCACCGCATCACCACCGCATCATCACCACCACATCACCCACATCACCACCACATCATCACCGCATCATCACATCACCACCACATCATCACCACATCACACTCATCATCAAGACTCAAGCACCAGCAGGAACAACAAATCATTCTATTTCAGATTCAACTGAAAATCTAACCCTTTTTTGTTTGTTCGTTTTTTGTTCAAGTGTATTGCGTAACTTTTCAGGTGGAGGGTCCGTCAAATGCTTTTCTCCATGGAGATGTTAGTGCTTTGTCTGAAATGTTTCGCAGTATGGTGTTAAACCTTTCTGTCTTCATGGAGACCAAACCAGACCGAGTTACAGGTCAGCTCTGTGGAGAGGCGACCCTGCTCACAGTCACAATGTTGTTTTTCGAAGTATTTTTGAGCTATAAAACCATTTGTAATTGAATTAATGTAGAGTTGTTTAATGTTATTTTACTTATTTTATTATTTATTTTGTTATTTTAATATTATTTTTATGTTGTTTAATCTGTAATTGAATTAATGTTGAGTTGTTTAATGTCACACTGTGGAACATTTCAAGCAAAGCGATGACACACTGCAAAAAAGCTTGGCCAAAATTTCAGATATAAGCACTTAAATCTATCAGAAAATGACATAAATGCAGTGAAATGATCTGTCCATGCAGCAAGATCATTTTATTTTACTACCTCTAGACTAGAACAAAGCATCTCAGCATTAGTAAGTCGATAATAAATCTGAAAATAGTTCATTTACGTCTGGGCTGCACTTTTCTCTTCTCCTCTGAGCAAAATGCTATTGGTGCAAAAATGTTTTGTTTGAATTGCAACTCTATGCCACTAACATCATCTGCTCATTTATTCATCAAACTTAACATTCTTAATATATATGAGATTAATATTTATCAAATTTGTATTTTTATCTCTAAAATTCTTTATAATTCAACGATGATCCCCAAACATTTCGCATTTTACTTTAAAACCAATGCAGACATTCATAGATACAAAACTCGTCAAAATCGTAATTTTCATGTTCCAAAATGTGTCATATCAGGAGCTCAGTTTTGCTACGAGACATTTTCACGTCTGGTTAGTGACAGTGTTTAAAAAGAGTTTGAGGAAATGTTTGATATTTCATAATAATGTTTGATGATCATTCAATAGGAGGGTTTCAGTCACGTGATCACGATGATGCACGAATTTCAGGTGGAGGGCAGGAAGTGAAGACAAACACGACAAACACGGCTCTGGAGAACACAGATATGGAGAAGAGTTCTTATTGTAAGGATTTAGAGCCAGTAGTGAGGCAAAAGTACGAGCAGTTAGTCGACAAATATATTGGGCGTGACCCTGATCTTATTGAAAATGAGAGAATTTTCAACCGAAGTAAAAGATTTGCCGACAATCGAGGCAGAGGAGATCACGAACTATTTAGCTCTTCAGACATCGTTCTACACCAGACAACAGATGAAGGCAAAGTACAAAAGTTTGGAGGCATAGAACTTTTTTTGTCAGTGGATGGGTCCTCAACCTCGGTGCAAAACACCTAAATGATGATTATCGTTTGGAGTGTTTCTCTTATTTTATGTGTATAGACTGTTATGGGAAAAACTGCAGTGTATCGGCAGTAACTTCTATGCAAACTATTTAATGTCAACAAACGTTGTTAGCTGTTAGTTGTTAATGATTCGTTTATGTTTAGGTAAACCACAAAAAACAATTTATCTTTGTAACAAACCTTTGACGAAGTCCTCACTGCAGACACGAGCATTAGCGAATTCTGCTCCTCCTGACCGCAAACAGGTTTGAAATCCACTTTTTACGCCTTTGTTCTGTCAACTTTTCCCATTTCTGACTTTTGTGGACGACTATATTCGGTATTCTAAAAAATTGCTTTTCTTTCTCTCGGTTAGAACAATTGGCACAGCCATAAACTACACAACACATCGGCATTTTCCTCCAGTCACTTCACTTCCTGCCCTCCATCTGATTTTGCGTGATGACAAACGTAGCCCTGTGACGTCACGTGAAACCCAGATATTGTGGATGTTTCATTGTGTTTTAATCCGTGTTTGAATCAAATGAATTTAGTCCATGGTGTTTAAATGTAATTTTTATTAAAAATTTTTTTAAAGCACAGCGATAATTTTTAATGTACCGTATTTTTCGGGCTATTAGAAGAACTCTTAAGCCTCCAACCGCATCAAAAAATGACAGCGCGCCCCACAATCCAGAGCGCCCTATACACGAATTCACTCGGGTGTCCCAGCACGACTTCAGTAAACTACAAAGCCGCACCACCCACAGAACACACAAACACACACGGAGCAGACAGCGACCACACAGCGAAACACAGACACACTCATCACTCCACACCGACGAGGAACGGAACGGAGGAACGAACCGAAAAAGCGAGTGCAATGTGCCACTTCTAGACACAACTGAACAACTGAGTCACTGCGAACACGCCGACAATCCAGTTGGTCCCAGACAGCACCCTCCCTACACGCCACAACTGAACAAAGCCCAGAGTCACCGTGAACGAACAAACAAACAAAACCACTCACCCATCACACTG